ATGTTGTATTTGGACTAATACTACAGGTGATGTGAAACCATCTATACTTAAGCTAAAATAAAAGACAGTCTGGATATCTAGAATAGACTGGGAGAGTTGCTGAGTCTTGTTTTCTTGGTCAGTTCTGGAAAATCGTGAGTGGTGTTTCCATAATGCCTCCTTGCACCTCCTTAAAATACTTTAGACATACCTACTAATCTCACAGTTGTTCAGGATATTACATGTTTCTGCACAGTCACTGGTCAAACGTGGTGGAACTGAAGCCTCCTGCCATAGCCACATGAACAAGCTTGGAAGTGGATCCACCAGCCCCTTCAGGTGACTATAACCCCAGCCAACTACTTGACTGAAACCTCATGAGAGATCCAGAGCCAAAACCACCCATCTAAGCTGCTCTAGATTCCTAAGTGTCAGAAACTTTGTGATTTTTTAAAATTTTTGTTATTTTGGTGATATTTGTTATTTTAAGCTCCTCAGTTCTGGAATCATTTGTTTTGCAGTAATAGATAACTAAAATACAAAATATATCAATAATTACAATAAATGTACATGAAATAAACTCACCAATAAAAGATAGGGATGATCTGGTCAGATCATTTGTAATTTAGATATATGCTGTTTATAAAAGAGACATGAAAAGCATAGGGATCTGCAAAAGTTTAAAGTAAAAGGTTTTAAAAGACAAAGAAATACTAATACAAAGAGGGTAGATATGTTACGTTACTAGCAGACAAAATAGACTTTAAAACCAAAAGACTAATTAGGGACAGAGAGCATCACTGCATAGTGATAAAAGTTTCAATGCACCAAGAAAATCTAGCCATTCTAAATATGTTAACATCTAATAAAAGAATCTGAAAATATATGAAGCAATACGTAATAGAACTACAAGAAGAAATGGCAAAGTCCACCACCATTTCATCATATATCCCTCAATTACGGATTGGTCAGGCAGATAAGAAAAAAAATCAGCAAAGATTTAGAAGATTTCAGCAACACAATGAATGAACTTCACGCTATAGACATGTACAGAATTCTGTGACAATAATGAGAGTACACACACTTATTATGCACATATGGAATATTTATACAAATAAAGAATGTGCCAGGACATAAAGAAGCCTCAATAAATTTCAGAGAATAGTTTCTCAGACCATGTTCTTGGAACACAAGACAACTATGTTAGAAGTTCACACATAAATATAAATCAAAAATTCTATTTGAATAATTTTTAAAACACTTATTTAAATCCTGAATTAAAGAACAAATCATATTGGAATTTTTAAAAACATTGGAAGAACATAAATTGGAAGTAAAAATTAAAATACTACGTATCAAAATTTGTGGGATGCAACAAAAGTAATGGTTCAAGGGAAATATATTTCTTTGAATACTTAAATATGAAAAGAAAAACAGCCAAAAATCAATTGCATATGTCTAAGTTTAAAGTTAGAAAGAGAACAATTCTCTGAAAGTAGAAGGAAAGAAATAATAAAAAGAAAAAACATGGAAATAAATGGAATATAAAAAATAAAAATGATGTATGTCGATATAGTTAAAACTTGGTTTTTAGGAAAATAAATAGTAAGATAGACAATATTCTGAAAAGACTAATCAAGAAAAAGAGAAGACCTGGGTAAATCATATGAATTTTAAAAGAGCTATAACTAAAGATAAAACAGAATTTTAAAAGATAATAGAAGATACCATCAATAATTCTATGCCAACAATTTAAAAACTTAGATTAAATTGGACAAATTCCTAGAAAAATATGATTTATCAAATCTGACTTGAGAACTAAAAAGACTGAATAGATATAACTATTAAAGAAATCAAAAGAGTGGTATAAAATCTTCCCGAAATGGAACAACAGATCTACATAGTTTTCCAAACCAATTTACAAGGACAAAATCATCCCAATCTTAAGAAGCTGTCCCAGAAAATAGTAAAAGAAGAAATATCCTTTTATTTTATTCTAAAAGGCTATCAATACCCTGATATCTGGAAACAAATGCATAAAAAGAAAGAAAAAATACAAGTTCATTTTATTCCTGGATATCCCAAAAAAATCAAGAGCAAATAAAAGTAATGCACCACAACCAAGTTGGGTTTATTCCAGATATCAGTTATCTATTGCTATAACGATGCTCAGTGGCTCACAACAGTAAGCACTTATCGCTGTTTGTGGATCTTAGGTCAGTGAAGCGGTTATGTTCATCTGGGCCAGCCTTGACTGATCTCAGACAGAATCACTCACGTGTCTGCTAGCAGCTGGCATATTTGTTGAGGGCTAGCAGATCTAGGATATCCTCACTCCCATATCTTGTGATTGGCTGGCCGTCAGCTGAAATGATGGGATGACTGAGCCATATGCCCTTCATCACACAGAATCTAGTCCAGGCTCATTCATACAGTAGGAGCATGGTCCCAAGAGAGGAAGTCGAAGTGGAAGCTACAAGGCCCCTTGAGGTTTATGCTTGGAACTGGCACACAGTCACTCCCACTGCTTTCTACTGGCCAAAGCAAGCCACAACACCAACCCATATTCAAGGAGAGGAGAATAAATTCCACTTGTTCATGGAAGGAGCTGTAAATCATGTTGCAAAGGCTGTGGATATATGGAGAAATGAAGGATCATGGCATCTCTGCAATCTACCCTACTCACTATGAAAGGATGGTTTCACAGAAGAAAATGCTTGTAATTCACCACATTAATAGATTAAGAGAGAAAACTGCCTGATCATTTCAGTAGATGTAGAAAGAGCATTTAATAAATTACAATGTAATTTCATGAAAAAAAATCCTTTGTAAATTAATAATAAAGGGGAACTCTTTTTAACTATAGAAATTTATATCACCCTAGGTGGATAAATCTTAGAAGCACTCTCTTTAAAATAAAAAATGGGACACATGTACCCACTATCATTTCTAGTGAATATTTTATTAGATGTCTTAGTCAGTGCAATAAGGCATGAAAAATAAATAAGGGCATAAAATTAGAAAAAAATAAAACTGAAACCATTTGCATATGATATGACCATTTTCATAGATAACCAATAGACTCCACAGATAAGTTATTAGAAATAAAAGGTGATTTTAGCAAGGTGGCTGGCTATACGATTAATATAAAAAAGATAATTGCATTGTATATATCAGCAAAAAGTAATTAGAAACCGTTTTTTATAGAAAGACCACATTTACAAGTGCATCAGAGATGATTGGATACCCAGAATTAAATCTAACGGAAGACGTGCAAGAATTCCATTGAGAATTTTAAGCAAATTTGTTAAGAAACATTTTAAAAGACCTGAAATAATGGAGAAATATATTGTGTTCATGAATAGTAAGACTTACTATTGTAAAGATGTCAATGCTCCCTAAATTTATTTATAGATTCATTTCAATTTCAATCAAGATTCCAATTGATTTTTGTTTTCTTGAAAATACACTTTTTATTGATCACTTAATCCTGAAGGGCAAATGGAGAAAAAATTGAGGAAGCATTTCTATAGAAAAGCAGGGAGGAGGGACTTATTAAAAAGTTATGGTAATAACTATTGTATGGAACTGGTTCAGGGATAAATAAAATTACCAGCAGAATACAGAGCCCAGAATCTGAACGTTCTTCTTCTTCTTTTTTTTTTTTTTTTTAAAGATTGGCACCTGAGCTAACATCTGTTGCCAATCTTCTTTTCTTTTTTTTTCTTTCTCCCCACGTCCCCCCAGTACATAGTTGTATATTCTAGTTGCAGGTCCTTCTAGTTATGCTATGTGGGACACTGCCTCAGCATGGCCTGATGAGCTGTGCCATGTCCACCCCCAGGATCCCAACCACTGAAACCCTGGGCCACCGAAGCAGAACACGTGAACTTAATCACTCAGCCCCGGGCCAGCCCCTCTGAACATTCTTATGTGTAACTTGGTGCCTGACCAAGAGGGCACAGCCAACCAATGATGACAAAGACCATTCAGTTAAAAGAACTGGATAGAAAACTAGACTTCACATAGCAAAATGTGAAATTGGAATCCTGCCTCACAACATATGTAAAAATCAACTCAAGATGGATCAAAGACTTAAATATCAAAACTTAAATTTTAGGACTATTAGAAGAAAATTTGTTGATAGGGAAGGATTGTTTTTAAAGAAGGCAGAAAACATTCTATAAAACAAAAGATTAATTTGTCTATATTAACATTAAGTGCTTTTCAGCTTACAAAGGAGACAGCACTCCCTTATAACAGGCAGGAATAGAAGAAAGGTGGGTTTGTAGGTTTGATACATGAAGTTGAGGGATTTACCATCTCATGACATCTTTGCCCTCTGTGACATAGAAAGGAAGTTCATGCTTCCAGTGGGGTTAGGGGTAAACATGTTGTGGGCAAGGAGGCAGGTATGAAGAGGAGACTGAGTCAGAAATCTAACGGGTGTGGAGAGGCTTTGCCTCAGTAACCAAGTAGGGTAGGAGAGAGGGTGGATCAGAGAAACACACTTGGTGGACAGACCTTACTGAGGCCCCCACCAGATCCATCTGCCCAGGGCTGGGACTGCCTCTGGTAGCACTCACCTGCAGGAGAGTGAGGCTTGGAGATCTTCAGCCAGTCCCACCAGCCTTATAACCAGCAACAAGCTGTCCCTAATTCCATTGTTGAGTTGACCACAGTCCCAACCTCCTCCATTGCAAGCGGTTTTCATCTCTTTCTGAAACTTTTGGATATTTTACTAAGGAAAGGCTACTCTGGGGACAGTTGGCCAGGTACTCTCTAGAATCCTCTCTCCTACTTGGCCATGGTTTAATCACAGTCTTCCATCCAAAACGGATTGGTAAGCATCTCTCTAACAGTTCTAGAGAATCCGCCCTTTGGTCTACTTGTTGGTCTGCCCTGCTCAGCTTTCAGCTTCTCCCAGTGGTATGAAAGCCAAGTATTGCCTACCTCATGCTCTCAGTGAGAGACTTGAACTTTCCCTTCTAGCTGCAAATTACAGCGCTCTGGTTCCCTACTTCCTTTCTCTTGAGTGTCCAACTAGAAAGAGAAATGATTACAGCCACATGGATGTCTTTATACCAAGCGTAACAGACTTGAAGAGGTTTCTCCTAATTTCTTCATAAATGTTTGTGGACATCACCCATTATTTTCACGTCCAAAGAAGTCCTCTAGCTGCCCCAATGCTGATAGCGCAACAAGTTCCCTCAGGGGACAATGTGCAGACTGGCCCCTGACATAATCTGTTATCCGAGGCCTGATATTATCACAGGACATTTTTTAATAATTTAAACAGAACACATAACAAGGTTTCCCAATAAGATGTTCAATTGCCTATCTCTTTCCTCTGGAGGTTGGGTAACAGAATTCTGGCCTGATTCTATCACTCGTTAGTTAACTAGTTAGATATAGTTAACTAGTCGTTTCCCTCTCTTTGGCTCTTCCTTTTCCAATATAAAAAAAGAATGGTCATGCTGAGCTGCCTCCTCCCTCACAGAGGTGTTGCATGGATTAAATATGATAATGAACGTCAAAGTGCTTTGCAAACTGCAAATCTAAGGTGTTATTATTCCCTTGGTGAAAGTACATCTTCCCTGTAGGAGTATAAAGGTTTGGAGTTTCATTAAAGGTAAATTCACAATATTTATTGAACTCCTTTTGTTTGCATGCATTTGCTAGGCACTTGTATATAAATAATCTCATCGTATCTTCATAGTAAGCCTGTGGAGCAACTAGTATTAAAATCCACTTCACAGATAAGGAAACTAAGCTTCAAAAAAGATTAAGCAATTTACCCAATATTGCGCAATGGGTAAGTACTGACATCAGTTCTGGATGGGTACAGCACCCCTCCTCCATAAAATCCTCAAGGATGCAGGCTCCTGCCAGCTCACGACATTGCCCTCCTAGAGGGTGGCCCTTGTCCTCTTTGTCCAAGGTGGATGGCAGCATCACATCCCAGGCAGAAGAATGGGAGAAGGGGCAAAGAAGAGAAGCTCACTGTTAAGGAAAGGTTGCCGGAGCTTCCATATGACACTTCGCCAACATCTCCTTGGCCAGAATATAGTTGCATGATGACTGGTGGGTTTGCTGGCAAGATACTGATGGAGCACTTAAATGGGGCAACTGGAGAATTTAGTAAAGGGGTCACATCCAAAGTTGTGGGTACGTTTGAGGAAACATACAAGGGATGGTGGCGCATACCAGGGCTAGTAATAGTGGGGGATCATTACAACTGTAGACCCAAAAGGACAGGGGAGGGCTGGTTACCAGAGCCCAGAGAAGGCTGGAGTTGTAGCTGCAGGAGAGGTTCTCCAGCTGAGCCGGGACCTTTGGTGAGGAAAACCATCCTGTGGCCCATCTCCCCCTGCCCTGTACATATGCCAACCACACAGGCAATAAAAGCCCCAACAAAAGCCTACTCTCTCTAGACAAAGGACCAGGAAAGGGCAAGGACTACCAAAGGACAAGCAAAGGCCACATGAGAAGCGGCCACCCTTGAAATGTTGAAGTGAGGTGCTCCAGCCACCATCCCCTCTCAACCAGGGTGGTGTCAGGCAAAGCTGTGTGGGGAGCCAGGACATCCATCCTCTCCAGGAGGGCTGAAAAGTCCCCTTCGTCTTCCTGCAGTGTCAGTGGGGAACACAGTGGGGCCAGGAATTTCTCCTTCCCTTTGGGGTGGTTGTTATGGGCTGGATTGTGTCCCCCAAAGTTCGTATGTTGAAGTCCTGACCCCGGCACCTCAGAATGTCACTGTATTTGGAGGCAGGGTCTATATAGAGGTAATTAAAAGTAAAGTGGGGTCATTGGGGAAGCTCTAATCCAATATGACTGGTATCCTTTTAGGAAGAGGTTAGGACACAGACACACACAGAGGGAAGACCATGTAAAGAAGAGGGCCACCTACAAGCCAAGGAGAGAGGCCTCAGAAGAAACCAACACTTCTGACATCTTGATCACAGACTTCTATCCTCAGGATGATGAGAAAATAAATTTCTGATATTTAAGCCACTCAGCTTGTGGTACTTGGTTGTAGCAGCCCAGCAAACCAATAGGGGTGGTATCAGAGGAGGCCTAGTGGAGAGCTAGGACTTGTCACAGCTCAGTGATGGCAAGCCCACTTCCCTAGGGTGTCAGTGGAGATCACATTGGCAGCAATAAGGAGGCATCTCCCTGATAGGGAGGTGTCAGCAGAGGCCAGGCAGAGAGTCGGAACTCCACCCCTGCCAGCAATAGAAGGTGGAGTGGGGAGCCTGGACTTCCACTCCACCTGGCAGTAAAAAAGTGTCACCACCACCCCTTCACCCACCAGAGCAGTGTCAGGGGAGGCTGCTAAAATACAAGGCTTAAATATGATCTAGAGTCTTACAACATAGTACCCAAAATGTCCAGTCTTTGTCCAAAATCACCCATCATACCAGGAACCAGGAAGACCTCAAAGAATCTCAAAAATGCCTCATGGCATTTGAAGGAGTGGACCAGTTAGGGTGCTTCAGCTGCGATAAACAGAACCCCAACGCAGGCTGCCTCAAACATTCAGGAGAATTTTTTGGCTCACATTACTAAAAGGTCCAAAGGTGGGGAAGACTTCAGCAAGGGTTGACCCTGTGGTTCAAGGATGTCCCAAGAACCCAGTTTCTGTCATCCATCATGTAGTTTCAAATTAAGGCTGGCTGGCCTCAGGCTTTCAGGATGGCTGCCAATAGCAAACACGGCTAAGAGCTGCCTCACTCACATCTCCTGGGAGATCGTCTTTCCCCGGCCAGTAAGGACAATTCTTGGGCATCCTTAGTTCACATGCTCACCCTGAACCAATCCCTCTGCCACAAGAGTGCCTTACAAGGATTGCCTGAAGTCAATCAAACCCTGGAGAGGAAAGTGGGATGCAATCCCACCCAAAGCACAGAGTAATCATGGCGGAGGGAAGTTTCCCCAGAAGAAAAGCTTAGTGCTGCTAGGAAGAGACTCCCACTCTGTGGATGTTGCAGGTAAGAAAACCAGGTGAGCTCAGAGATTTTAAGAAAGTTGCTCACAGTTACATAGTTACTTAAATGGAAGAGCTGAGGTTCAGACTCATGTTTTCTGTCTCTGAAACATTTTGGTACTGGATGACAAATGCCTGGCACTAGGTCAGAGCCTGCTGCAGTGCCCTTGCTAGCACATCACAGGAGCTTCATAAATACTTGTTCAAAGAGTGAAATCCCACTTTCTTAGCAAACAGCGTCACAGCAGAGCCACCTTCTGTTCATCCAATTCCTACGTGCTACTATAGGCACTGTGGCCTCCCAGTTAGGCGTTGTCATGTGACCAATAACAGCCAAAGAGCTAGGACTAGACTTGATGAGGGTCACTACCAGCTTGAAGTGGAGAAGAGCCAGCGTGAAGTCCCCTTGTGCTTTGTTCGCCTTCTGTGGTGACTAGAGAAGTCACGTGTTCCAGATGATCAGCCTGTGTCCCTAATGACTATCTGGAGCAGTGTCACCTCTTCAGCCCCCACCCCCACTCCTACAGACCCATGTTGGACATGGAGCATGAGCACAGAGTAGACTTCAATTGTGTTAATCCCCTGCTACTTGGAGGTTAACTTGCTATTAACCTAGCCTAACTAAATGAGTACAATCCCTGAAAAATCACAACACTTTCTCCTGCTGAGCCTAGATTTGGCTCAGAATCCTGAAAGCTTTTTTTTGAGCCTAATGACTCCAAAATAATTAAAACATTTCCAGCTTTTATTTGTTCATTCAGGCAATAAATATTTGCTGCCCATCAATTCCTGTGGAGGCGTAAAAAGTTACCATAAACTAGGTGGCTTAAAACAAGAGAAATTTTTTCTGTTATGGAGGCCAGAGGTCCAAAATCAAGGTGTCAGCAGGGCCACACTCCCTCGGGAGATTCTAGGGAAGAATCCATTCCTTGCCTTTTCCAGCTTCTGGTGTCTGTTAGTGTTCCTTGGCCTGTGGTCACATCACTCAAACCTCTGCCTCTGTGGTCACGTTATCTCCTCTTGTCTTTTCCTCTGTATGTCTCTTATAAGGACACTAGTCGTTGGATTTAGGGCCCATCCAGATAATACAGGATGATCTCCACACCTCACTATCTTAACTTAATTACATCTACAAAGACCCTTTTTCCAAGTAAGATCACATTCACAGGTTCTGGGGATTGGGACATGGGCATACATTTTGGGGGACCACCATTCAACCCATGGTTGTTAAACACTGGAAATAGAAGCGGTAAACAAAGCATTTGTGAAGCTTACAGCCTAGTTAAGGACATAGCCATTAACCAAATAATTGTGCAAGTGAACGTTTAACTCAAGTGCTATAAAAGAAAAATACAAGGTGCTAAGAGCCTTGTCTGAGAAGATCAAGGAAGCCTTCCACTAGAAAGTGATGCTTAAGCCAAGACGTAAAAGGTGATAGGCATTAACAAGATGAAATGATGGATAAAGCATTTCAGGCAGAAGGAAGATTCTATCCAAAGTCCATAGGAGAAGGGAGTGTGGCTAAAGCGCAGAGAGTGAAAGAAAAGATGAAAGCTTAGGCCTTTTTCTGAAAACAATGGTTTCATTAAGCAAGGGAGTGATCTGAGCAGATTAGTGTTTTGAAATCTCATTCTAGCTTGTTGAAAAACCATGGTGGGAGTCAGAAGACCAGTTAGGAAGCCACTGCAATGAGGTGAGAAATGATAATGCCTGGCCCAGAGTGATGGCAGTAGAGAGGGATAAAAAGAAGTCATATTTTAGAGGTATTTTAGAATCAAAACCAACAGATCTGATGATGTCACTGAAAATGAAGTCAGAAATTCCAAAAAACAATTATAAAGCTGGAAAAAAACTATCAGAATCAACTTTTTCAGAACTCTAGAATAGAATCAAAAACTTACAACCACCAGGGGAATGTTAAATGAAGAAAGAAGCTACTCAATTTTTGTAAAAGAACCCTGTCTTGTTTTAACTTACCTACCTACTCCTCCATTCTTCGGCTCCTCACCAGCAATGGCACTGGTGATCCAAAACACAGATCCTCACATCAGTGCACATGCCAGCAACCACAGGCTACAAGGGCAAACATGGTACTCATGGCTTGGCCCCTGCCCCCCTCCAGCAGCAGGGGGGACACAGTGGAGCTGGCAACCCAAGCCCCTCCCCCTCATCTAGCAGTGGCACCAGTCTTTCCAGCAGTGGAGACTACATCCAAGGTGTGAGTTTCCCAAGCAAGAGCAGGGTCCCCTGATCCCAGGTTTCATAGTAGACTATCACTGTGCACACCAGTGCCAGCAACCAGAGGCTGCAGCCCCTGCCCCTCCCAGAGGTGGCAGGTGACACATGTGTCCTGAGGCTTCAGGACACACAGTGGTGCCAGTGACCCAGCCCCATCCTCCTTCCCTGACAGTGGAGCTGGTTTCTCCAACAGTAGGGACAGCAACCAAAATGTGGATTTCACTGGCAGAAGCAGGGTGCCCTAACCTGAGGTCTGAGAAAGCACACCAGTGGGTGCCAGTGACCAGAGACTTCAAGGCCAGCAATAACACTTGTGACTTAGTCCGTACTCCTCCCTCAGCAGTGGCAGGTGGCATCCATGACCTGACGCTTCAGCAAACACAGCAGAACCTGAGAACCAGCCCCCAGTGGTGACACCCCCAACATCAGCTCAGCAGTAGCAGGGGCTGCATACAAGAACCCAGGTCCCTGAAAGCAACAACACCTGTGAACCCAGCTTCCCTGACAGTAGTGCTGCTAGCACCTCCAGATAACCCAGGAACAGCAGTGCAGGTGGTGCACAGGGTAGTGGTGCCCAAGCCCATAAAGAGCCTACAGAGAGCAAGCAGGGGAATATGAGACCCAGGCTACTCCAGAAACAGCAAAAGTGCTCACAGTCTGGTGACCCTGGTGGCAACACCAGACACTGCAGCAGCATCATAAGCAGCAAGGCACCAGCAACCTCAGAGGCACAAGCAGCACAAGGAGGGCACTGATGACACCTCTAGCAGAGGCAGTGGAGGGTGGAAAGTGCAGGCTCTCAAATACAACTAGAAGCAGTGCAGAACCAAAGAAACCAAAGGTGTACCCAAATAAGAAAGGTGATTACTACCACAAATGCACAGGCAGAGGATTGATTCATCAAACACCATGGGGAACTACAGTAACACAGCAGAATAGAGGAATGACAGCTCTCCAGAAACCAAACTTGAAGTCACAGAAGATTACATCAGACTGACAAAGAATTCAAAATAGCAGTCATAAAAAAACTCAACGAGTTACAAGAAAACTCAGACAGACAGTTCAATGAAATCAATGAACAGAAGGAAAACTTCACCAAAGATATTGAAGCTCTAAAAGAAAAAATACTAAACATAAATTCTGGATTTGAAGAACACAATTAATGAGATAAAACATAATGTAGAGAGTCAGCCCCAGTGGCCTAGTGGTTAAGTTTGGCATGCTCTGCTTCAGTGGCCTGGGTTCAGTTCCTGGGCATGGACCTACACCACTTGTCTGTCAGTGGCCATGCTCTGGCAGCAGTTCACATAAAAAAAAAAAAAGAGGAAGATTGGCAACAGATGTTAGCTCAGGGAGAACCTTCCTCAGCAAAATAAATAAATAAATAATAATGTAGAAAGCATAAAAAACAGCAAACCTTATAGAGGAGAGAATCAGTGACCTCTAAGATAGAAACCTAGAAATGATCCAGATGGAGCAGGAAAGAGACCTAAGATTTTTTTTTAATGAAGAAATTCTTCAAGAAATATCTGACTCAATTAGGAAAACTAACATAAGGATTATAGGTATCCCAGAAGAAGAAGAGAGGAAGAAAAGAGCAGAGAGCTTATTCAAATAAATAACAGCTGAGAACGTCCCAAATATGGAGAAACAACTGGACATTCAAGTACTTGAAGCTAATAGAACTCCTAATTACATCAATGCAAAAAAACCTTCTCTAAGGCATATAATAATAAAACTGTCAAAAGTCAATGGAAAAGAAAAAATATTAAGGGTAGCAAGGCAGAAGAAAATAACATAGAAAGGAACTCACATCAGGCTTTCAGTGGATTTCCCAGAAGAAACCTTACAGGCTAGGTGACAGTGGAATGATACATTCAAAATGCTGAAACACAAAAAGTATCAGCCAAGAATACTGTATCAAGTGAAATTATCCTTTGGTTATGATGGAGAAATAAAAGCTTTCCCAGACAAATAAAAGCTGAGGGAGTCCATCACCACCAGATGTTCCTTACAAGAAATGATGAAGGGAACCCTCCTACCTGAAACAAAAAGGCAAAGGTTTACAAAGCTTTGAGCAAGGAGATAAGTAGACAGAGAAAATTGTAAAATTGCAGCTTTATATCACAGTAGGTTAGCAAACACTTAATTATAAAATAAAGGATGGGGCTGGCCCCATAGCAGAGTGGTTAAGTTTGCATACTTCACTTTGGTGGCCTGGGGTTCTCCAGTTCGTGTCCTGGGTGTAGACCTAGCACCACTCATCAAGTCCTGCTGAGGCAGTGTCCCATATGGAAGAACCAGAAGGACCTACAACTATCACAGACAACTAAGTACCAGGGGTCTTGGGGAGAAGGGAAAAAAAAGAAAGAGGAAGATTGGCAACAGATGTTAGCTCAGGGCCAATCTTTAAAAAAAAGAAAAAAGAAAAAATACAAAGACCTAGAAATTTTAAAAAAATAAATAAATACACAATAAAGGGAAAGAAAGCATCAAAAACTATAACTACTTCAATTTGGTCACAAACTCACAACACAAAAAATAGAATAATTTGTCACAACAAAAATATAGAAGAGAAAGAGGAAAGGGATGGAACCTGCATAAGCTAATGGAGATAAGAAGCTATCAGAAAATGGACTATCTCATCTCTGAGATCTTTTATACAAACTTCATGGTAACCACTAAACAAAAAATCAGAGCAGAACCACAAGTCATAAATAAAGAGAAAACTGAAAAAATCATCACATAAAACTACCAAACTGAAATAGCAGACAGAAATGCAAGGAAAAAGAAACAATGGAAATATAGAACAACTGGAAAACAAGAGCTAAAATGGCAATATTAAGCCCACATATATCAATAATCACTCTAAATGTGAATGGATTGAATTCACCAATCAAAAGACACGGAGAGGCTGGATGGATTAAAAAACAGAACCTGAGAATATGCTGCCTCCAGGAAACACATTTCAGTTCTAAAGACAAACATAGGCTCAGAGTGAAAGGATGGAAGATAATACTCTAGGCAAATGGTAAGCAAAAGAAAGCAGGTGTAGCCATACTTATATCAGACAAAGCAGACCTCAAGATAAAAAAGATAATGAGAGACAAAGATGGCCATTATATAATGATAAAAGGGCCATTCTACCAAGAAGACATAACACATGAATATATATGCACGTAACACCAAAAGACAAAAGTATATAAAGCAAATATTAACAGACCTAAAGGGAGAAATTGCCAGCAACACAATAAGAGTAGGGGACCCTACCACCCCACTTATGTCAATGGATAGGTCATCCAGACAGTCAAAAAGAAAACAGTGACCTTAAGTGAAACACTAGACCACATGGATTTAATGGATATGTATAGAACATTCCATACAAAAACAGCAGAATACACATTCTTCTCCAGTGTGCATAGAAGATTCTCAAGGATAGACCATATGTTCAGAAACAAAGCAAACCTCAATAAATTTAAGAAGATTGAAATCATATCAAGCATCTTTTCTGACCACAATACCATGAAACTAGAAATCAACCACAAGAAAAAAGCTGGGAAAATCACAAATATGTGGAGTCTAAGCAAGATGTTACTGAACAACTGTTGGATCAACGAAGAAATCAAAGGAGAAATAAAAAAAAATACCTAGAGACAAATGAAAATGAAAACACAACAGACCAAAACTTATGGGATGCAACAAAAATGATACTAAGAGAGAAATTTATAGCAATAGATGCCTAACTCAACAAAGAAGAAAAATCTCAAATAAACAAGCTTACACTATACCTAAAAGAACTAGAAAAAGAAGAACAAACACAGCCCAGAGTCAGTAGAAGGAAGGAAATAGTAAAATCAGAGTAGAAATAAATGAAATAGAGACTAAAAGAACAATACAAGGGATCAATGAAACTAAGAGCTGGTTCTTTGAGAAGATAAACAAAATTGACAAACCCTTAGCCAGACTCACTAAGGAAAACAGAGAGAAGACTCAAAATCAGAAATGAAAGAGGAGAAATTACAAGGGACACCTCAGAAGTACAAAGGATTATAAGAGAATACTATGAAAAGCCATACACCAACAAACTGGATAACCTAGAAGAAATGGATAAATTCTTAGAATCATACAACCTTCCAAAATTGAATCAAGAAGAAATGGAGAATCTGAATAGACCAATCACAAACAAAGTGATTGAAACAGTAATAAAAAACCTCCCCAAAAACAAAAGTCCAGGACGAGACACCTTCTCTGGTGAATTCTACCAGACATTCAAAGAAGATTTAATTCCTATTCTTCTCAAACTATTCCAAAAAATTGAAGAGGACAAGATGCTTCCTAACTCATTTTATGAGGCCAATGTTACCCTGATACCAAAACTAGACAAGGAAAACACGAGAAAGGAAAATTACAGGCCCGTATTGCTGAGGAACATAGATGCAAAAATCCTCAACAAAATACTAGCAAATCAAATACAACAATACATTAAAAGATCATACACCACAATCAAATGGGATTTATTCCAGAGATGCAAGGATGGTTCAACATATGCAAATCAATCCATGTGATACATCACATTAACAAAATGAAGAACAAAAGTCATATGATCATCTCAACAGATGCAGAGAAAGCATTTGACAAGATCCAACATCCACTTATGATAAAAACTCCAAACAAAATGGATATAGAAGGAAAGTACCTCAACATAATAAAGGTCATATGACAAACCCACAGCCAATATCATACTTAATGGTGAAAAACTGAAAGCCATCCCTCTGAGAATAGGAACAAGAAAAGGATGCCCACCCAAGCCACTCTTATTCAACATAGTCCTGGCAGTTTTGGCCAGAGCAATTAGGCAAGAAAAAGAAATAAAAGGATCCAAATTGGAAAGGAAGAAGTGAAACTGTCACTATTTGCGGATGACATGATTCTATATATAGAAAACCCTAAAGAATCCATCAAAAAACTATCAAAATTATTTAACAAATACAGTAAAGTTGCAGGGTGCCAAATCAATCTACAAAAATCAGTTGCATTTCTATACACTGATAACAAACTAGTAGAAAGAGAAGAATACAATCCCATTTACAATTGCAACAAAAAGAATAAAATACCTAAGAATAAATTTAACCAAGGACATGAAAGACCTATACACTGAAAACTATGTGACATTATTGAAAGAAATCAAAGCAGACATAAAGATATTCCATGCTCATGGGTTGGAAGAATAAATATAGTTAAAATGTCCATATTACCTAAAGCAATCTACAGATTCAATGCAATCCCAGTCAGAATCCCAAAGACATTCTTCATGGAAATAGAACAAAGAATCTTAAAATTTGTATGGAACAACAAAAGACCCTGAATAGTCGAAGCATCCTGAGAAAAAAGAAGAAAACTAGTGTTATCACACTCTCTGAATTCAAATTACACTACAAAGCTATAGTGATCAAAACACCATGGTACTGGCACGAAAACAGACACATAGATCAATGGAACAGAATTGAAAGCCCAGAAATAAAACTGCACATCTATGGACAGCTAATCTTTGACAAAGGCGCTGAGAACATACAATGGAGAAAGGAAAGTCTCTTCAATAAATAATGTTGGGAAAACTAGACAGCCACATGCAAAAGAATCAAAGTAGACCATTATCTCACACCATACACAAAAATTAACTCAAAATGGCTTAAAGATTTGAATGTAAGACCTGAAATCATGAAACACTTAGAAGAAGATATAGACAGTACACTCTTTGACATCGGTCTTAGCAATATCTTGTTGAATACAATGTCTACTCAGGCAAGGTAAACAAAAGAAAAAATAAACAAATAGGACTACATCAGATTAAAAAGCTTTTGCAAAGCAAAA